CTTTAGCAAAATTTTACTTGCATGTGATATTAATGATATTGTTCAATAATTTCCACATTTGGTTGGATCACCTTTCTTGGGAATAGTCATAAATATGGATCTCTTTGAGTCAGTTGGCCAGGTAGCTGTCTTCCAAATTTCTTGGCATAGACGAGTGAGTTGAAACATCTCTATTGATATTTCCTCAATTCCTGGAGCCTTGTCTTTCACCAATGCCTTCAGTGTAGCTTGAACTTCTTCCTTCAGTACCATTGGTTCCTGATCATATGCTGCCTCTTGAAATGTGTGAACGTCGACCAATTCTTTTTGATATAATGACTCTGTGTATTCCTTCCATCTTCTTTTGATGCTTCTTGCATCGTTTAATATCTTCCCCATAGAATCCTTCACTATTGCAACTCGAGGCTTGAGTTTTTTCTTCAGTTCTTTCAGCTTGAGGAATGCCAAGCATGTTCTTCCCTTTTGGTTTTCTATCTCCAGCTCTTTACACATGTCATTATAATACTTTACTTTGTTTTCTCGAGCTGCCCTTTGAAATCTTTTTTTCAGCTCTTTTACTTCATCATTTCTTCCTTTTGCTTTAGCTACTCGACATTCAAAAGTAAAGTTTCACAGTCTCTTCTTACATCCATTTTGGTCTTTTCTTTCTTTCCTGTCTTTTTAATGACCTCTTGCTTTCTTCATGTATGATGTCCTTGATGCCATTCCACAACTTGTCTGGTCTTCCGTCATTAGTGTTCAACACGTCAAATCTATTCTTGAGATGGTCTCTAAATTCAGGTGGGATATACTCAAGGGTGTACTTTGGCTCTTGTGGACTCATTCTAATTTTCTTCATTTCCAACTTGAACTTGCATATGAGAATTGATGATCTCTTCCGCAGTCAGCCCCTGGCCTTGTTCTGACTGATGATATTGAGCTTTTTTATTGTCTCTTTCCACAGATGCAGCGGATTTGATTCCTGTGTATTCCATCTGGTGAGGTCCATGTGTACAGTCACCATTTATGTTGGTGATAAAAGGTATTTGCAATGAAGAAGTCATTGGTCTTGCAAAATTCTATCATGCGATCTCCAGCATCATTTCTATCACCAAGGCCGTATTTTCCAACTACCAATTCTTATTCATTTCCAACTTTCGAATTCCAATCACCAGTAATTATCGATGCATCCTGATTGCATGTTCCATCAATTTCAGACTGAAGAAGTTGGTAAAAAATCTTCAGTTTCTTCATCTTTGGCCTTAGTGGTTGGTGCATAAATTTGAATAACAGCCCTATTAACTGGTCTTCTTTGTAGGCGTATAGATATTATCCTGTCACTGCAGCATTGTACTTCTGGCTAGATCTTGAAATGTTCTTTTTGACAATGAATGCAATACCATTCCTCTTCAAGGTGTTATTCCCGGCATAGTAGACCATATTATCATCTGATTCAGAATGGCCAATACCAGTCCATTTCAGCTCACTAATGCCTAGAATATTGATGTTTATGCGTTCCATTTCATTTTTGACAATTTCCAGTTTTCCTAGATTCATACTTCATACATTCCACATTCCGATTATTAACAGATGTTTGCAGCTGTTTCTTCTCATTTTGAGTCGTGCCACATCAGCAAATGAAGGTCCCGAAAGCTTGACTCCATCCACGTCATATAGGTCGACTCTACTTTGAGGAGGCAGCTCTTCCCCAGTTATCTTTTGAGTGCTTTCCAAGCTGGGGGGCTCATCTTCTGGCACTATATTAGACAATGTTCCACTGCTATTTATAAAGTTTTCACTGGCTAATTCTTTTCAGAAGTAGACTGCTGGGTCCTTCCTCCTAGTCTGTCTTAGTCTGGAAGCTCAGCTGAAACCTGTCTGCCATGGGTGACCCTGCTGGTATCTGAGTACCTGTGGCATAGCTTCCAGCATCACAGCAACACCCAGGCCCCCACAGTACGACAAACTGACTGACACGTGGGTCATATATATAACTATAAAAATAATTCTATAGATATTAATTATATATATATACGTATTTGACTTAAAGTGACAAACACTATCTCACAGTTTCTGGGTTTCAGAAATTTGGGAGTAGATTAACTGCATGGTTCTGGATCAGGGTCTCTCATGAGGTTGCAATCAAGATGCCAGCTGGGGCTTGATGGGGCTAGAGAGTCTGCTTCCAAGCTCACTTATGTGGCTGTTGGCAGGAGGCCTCAGTTCCTCATTAACTCTTGGCTAGAGGCTTTATTTCATAATCCATGTTTTTCTCATTCCAATTTCTATGTTTTACCCCCGACACATTGCCTCCCCATTTTAATAATAGGGAACATGAATTTTTAAGATTTTGTGTAGTTTATCTTATTACTCTGGCTTGTCATGTATTCTCCCAAATATTAAACAACTTCACTGTGGATAAAAGCTATTCTGTGGAACAGCAGAGAAGAGTTATCATCTGGCCCTGTAATATTACACCTACTCTTTCATTGTCTATCTTGTTATCTGACGTTTCGCATTCACGACAACAGAAAAAAATCTGACTATTTCGCACATTAATGAGGAGCCAAGGCCAGAGGGGACAGAAGAGGGTGAGGTTTGTGAGAGGGAGCCAGGCTGTTCAGGCTGCCGGTGGCATACATTTCCGGGCTAGGTGGAGGAGCCAGGCCAGGTCCGCAATGAGCATGAGGCAGAGGCGGCCAGCAGGAGGCGGGGTAGGCTGGGCCACGAGGCATAGGGCAGGAGGTTCGTATGTCTCTTCTTCCAAAGACGGCCTCTCTGCCACCTCCACAACCTCCGCCGGGTCCAGGTGGCCAGGCCTTACCTGCTCGCAGGCCCTGGAGCCGCCCACCACCGAGGCCTGTCTACGGGGCTGGCAGAGCAAGAAGGTTGAGAGACAAGGCACAGGGATTCACACAGAGGCCTGGAAAGCAGCCAAGTGGTGGTTGTCCCCTGTTGCTCTGGAGGCTGTGGGCAACCCCCCGCCCCTGCCACCACCCTCCCAACCCCCATGGGCTCAGCAGTAGTGGGGAAGGTGTGGTGGGGAAGGGGGGCCCACTGCACCACATCCATCCTGAGACGCACCAGGGGCGCCCCACCAGTGGTGAGCAATGGATGCTGAAGACAGGGTGAGGCCCAGACTCTTGCATAATGCCTATTTTCCCATAACGACCTGGTCTTTAGGAACTAAGCATGTCAGTAAGTAAAGACTGGGTGTATAAGGATTCTACACAGGGGAGAGGCTGGGATATCCACTGGCAGAGAGGCTTCAGCAAGCATTTGATCCCTGCCTACACGAGAATACCAGGATAGAAGGCTAATAGTGGCCAGCTAAAGAAAAGGTTTCAGTAGGAACTTGCCAGCCATCCTTCAGAGAAGAAGTCTAACCAGTATCCAAAACGAAAACCTTTAGTAATATTTTCCCCATAAGCAAGTCAGAAAGTCCATTTAGGAAAGAAACCTGTTAACTGAACCAGCTGTGAGAACCCTCACTAAGAAAGGCAGGCCGTAAGTGTTCTTGGGAGTTCTCTTACTCTTACAAGGGCCCATGATTCCTCAAATCCTGAGCTTTCCCTGACAATCTCCCTGTACCCCCATAACTAATCTGATTTGGGTACCGCTCCTTTGTGGTCCCACAGAACTCTGCACTTATCTCCACATTAGCACTTGGACTCCTGCCTTTCCTGTTTACCCCACTAACCAGTAAGCTCCTTAGGGAGAGAGCCTGACACACACTAGCTACTCAATCAATGTTTCTTGAATAAATGACTAGATAACTTCATTACCTTACACAATTTGCCAAATTTAACACAGTCAGTTGCTTCAAAACTGACAGAGATCTGAGGCTGCCATCTGTTAATCCTTTGCAGTCAACCATGTAAATGTGACGGATATTTGGATAATGTTTGTCTATAAATTTGAAGCAACTATCAGTAATCCTTTTATTTCCTGTTACAAAACACAAGAAAAGACAAGTATTTATAATACCGTAGGAGTAAAACTAAAAAATAATGCTGATAGACCTCTCTATAGAATGCAACCAAATTATCAACATGTAAGACATCCAAAAATAGAAATACAGAGCAAAACACTAGACCAACATTTTTTTAAAAAATGCTGAACCATATTTTTAATAGCACAGACCTTCAAATCGGATCTTTTTGAGGCTACAAGTGGAAAGAGCTTTGAAAGCACGATCTGAGATATGTGGTGCACCGATGAAAACCACTGATGTAATACGAGAGCACTTCTCAACTAAAGCCTTCAGGAGAAAAAAGAGAATTAAATTCAACCACACTGTATAGAACACGCTTAGGAAAGTAATGATATTTTCCTCTCAATATTTTTAGAAACAGACACATTAACTACTAAAATTTACCAATTTCAAAGAAAATAGGATTTTGTTCAATATATATTTTAGCACATTTACATTTGAGTAATGCAGAGGAATTGGAATTAAATCATGTTATAAGAGTAAAACAAAAAACAAAAAACCCCATTGCCATTAAGGTGATCCAACTTATGGCGACACCATGTGTGCAGAGTAAAGGCCCATCTGCGCCACCCAGGGATTCTGTTATAAGAGTATGGGGAGGGGAGGAAGTGTATGGAAAAACATGAGACAATGGGATGCTGAAAAATACCATACATTTAGTAGCTAGATAAGGAGAACTGAACTTAAAGTTTGTGCTTAGATACAATATCACTGAAACAAAAATATCCTAACTGTGAAACAAAGTTTCTAAGGGTTCTAAGTTTCTAAAGATTCAAATGTTTAAACATTTGTGTGCATGTATGTGTATAAATTTTTTCATGATTTTCTTCTATTAAAAAAAAACCCAAGATTAAAATTTCATTCACATTTTCCAATAATTCACGTCACTAGAAAACATGCCCATCTAATGGGACTTTCCAATTACCTACTTTTACACACTTGTCTGTCAGAGTTGGCATATCATTGATGGTCAGATGCATAATTCCACTGCAGCTGTTCGCAATGTTCCTGAAGCCTTGGACTGAAATCTAAATTGTACAGAGCAGGTGAAAATGATGGAAGAACCCATTAGCATGACATCTAATAAAACCTCAAGGATAGTAATAACCAAAGGTATGTTATGATTTTGTTACTATATTTTAAAATTAAAACCATAAAATATGGCAGTCATAGAAGGAAAGAAAAGAATATAGTCCTGATTTCTTTTTTTAATTTTATTGCAGTGAAATGCACATAACATGAAATTAACCATTTTAAAGTGAATAATTCAGTGATATTTAATACATGAACAATACTGTGCAACCACAACCTCTACTTCCAAAAAATTATTATCACCCCAAAAGGAAACCCATACCTATTAAGCAGTTGCTCTCCATTCCCCTCCCCCCAGTCCCTGTAACCACTTTTTGTGGAACCGCCAAACTGCTTTCCACCAGCAGCTGCACTCATTTTATATTCCCACCAGCAATGCATAAGCGTCCCAATTTCTCCATATCCTTGCCAACACTTATTATTTTCTGTGTTTTTTTAAAATATAGCCACCCCAATGGGTGTGAAGTATTATCTCATCGTGGTTTAATTTGCATTTCCTTAATGTGTAATGGGAGACCTGGTGGCACAGTGGTTAAGAGATCGGGTGCCAACCAAAAGGTCAGCAGTTCGAATCCACCAGCTGCTCCTTGGAAACCCTATGGGGCACTTCTACTCTGTCCTGTAGAGTCGCTGTGAGTTGGAATTGACTTGATGACAAGGGTTTTTTGGGTTTTAATGACTAATAATGTTGAACTTCTTTTCATGAACTTGTTCGCCATTTGCATATCTTCTTTGGAGAAATGTCTATTCAGGTCCCTTGCCCATTTTTTAATTAGGTTGTCTTTTTGTTGTTGAGTTGTAAGAGTACTTTATATATTCTGGATGCTAGATCCTTGTCGGATATATGATTTGCAAATGTTTTCTCCCATTCTGTAGGTTGTCTTTTCACCTTCTTAATAACGTCCCTTAATGCACAAAAGTTTTTAATTTTGATGAAGTCCCATTTATTTTTTTCTCTCATTGCTTGTGGTTTTGGTGTAAAATGTAAGAATCTATTACTGAATCCAAAGTCATGGATTCTAAGGGTTTTATATCTCTTCCAGAAGTAAAGGATAACACCACTCAGGAAGCCTCAGTCCCATTTCCAGTTCAAGCATTTGTGGGTCTCCTAACATCTCATTGGGCATCCACAGAAATACAGAAAAACATGAACACTTACCATACTACCAAACACTAAAACTGGCAGTCAACCCAATACCTGAATATGGGAACAGTATCCGTTACGAAGAATACTGAATATACCATGGACTGACAGAAGAACGAACAAACCTGATTTGAAAGAAGTACAGCCAGAATTTTTCTTAGCAGCAAAGATGGCGAGACTTCGTCTCACATACTTTGGACCTGTTACCAGGAAGCACCAGTCCCTGGAGAAGGACATCACGCTTGGTAAAGCAGAGGGCCAGTGTAAAAGAGGAAGATCCTCAATGACTTGGATTAACACAGTGGCTGCAACAATGGGCTCAAACATGGCAAAAATTGTGAGGATGGCACAGCATCTGGCAGCATTTCATTCTGTTTTACATATGAGTCGGAACTGACTTAATGGCACCTAACTACCACAACATCCCTTAACTTCAAGGGTTACAGAACACAGCTGAGAAAAACTGCCAGTGACCCACTCATGCTGAGTCATAAACCTGTTGGCCTAAAAGACGTCGGAACTACTCTTCCTCCTTGTCAGAAACTCAGGACCCTGGACTGCTACACAGCTTTCACTGTAATGTGGGATGCTGCTTCTTGACAGCTTATCGTCTTTTCCCCATCAAATATTTCTTGTCTACTTCCATTTGAGACTGCAGTGTCTAAAAAACAGCTAGTCAAGGAGTGGGGTGGCAGTATCCACAGCCTGCCCTGGAAGATGTAGTCCTCAAGGAATTTGCTATAAGCTGCACTGAAAACACAAAGAGCTCAGCTAGCAGTCTTGGTCCATGGACGCTGTGAATTTACAGGAGTTACACCCAACCCTCTTCTTCAAAACCCCTAAGGTACTTGCTGCATTCCCGTCAGTAAAAGCTCTCTGCCACAGAGGTTCTCACATTTTGAGAACTGCTTTGTAGTCAGAGAACCAGAAAGTAGAGGCAGGAAAAAATGACTCCTCACGCCTACCAAGCTTCCTTAGCTGATTGCCCACTGGATACTGGCAGCTCGACTTGGGCTGGGAGCTGTGTACATGAACCTGCCTTCCAAGCCAAAGATCTGAGAATATGGGATGTAGGTGGGGGTGTGGGAGGCAGGCCCTCTCACACACTGCTAGTTTGGTGTGTAAGCTGGAACCATTACGCTGGAAAGCAAGTAAGTAATAAGTACCAAATGCTTCAAAATGTTTACAATCTTTGGCCCCGTAATTTCTCACTAGAAATCTATCATCATCATTAACAGATATTGAGCATTTTCTGTGTGCCAGTCATTGTTCCAAGGGCTTTACATGTATGATGTCTCATTACATTCTCATAATACATTGTTTTCATAAGGAAATAAAGATTTATGTAGAATATATTTTATTGTAGCATTTATTGTAATAGATAAGTTACTAAATGCCCATTAAAATTAATATTTCAAGCCATGTTTAGTGACATAGAAAAATGTTTACAATACAGTATTGTATGAAAAATCAGGATTTAAAATTGACTGTTAAACCTTGTTTAAAACAAACAATGCCTCTTAAGAAGATCAGCTTGTATTACTGTACTACAAAGAAAGCCAAACACCTTTCTCACCACTGGACACCATAGATAGGCCTACTCCTGGATCATTCACCTCTTGACCCAGATCTTAATGCTGCTTTGGAGACTTGGGACATTGTTGCTCCCTAAGCCTCATGGTTGAGGTATTTGCTCTTGCCTGCTTTGTCTTGTCTGATCATCTGTGCTGCATGACCACATTTTTATCCAGATGAACATCTTTGAGACTGTCTCCTCTCATCTAGAAACACTGACTGCCTGAACCAGACATAACTAAAAAGAATGCAGACATTCAAATTCTTAATCCAGCACTCGTCTTAACTAATATTCTTCAATAATAGCATCCAGTTCAAGCGTCTCATGCCAGCTTCCAGAGATCTTCAAACCCAGCTGCTCCAGCTGCAAAGAATTTCACCTCCTTGATATTCACTGGACTTACCTGCTTTTTGTCTAACCTGGTACCTCTCCCTGCTTCTTCTCTTTTTATCTCATCAAGGCTTAGCTATTCCTCAAGTCCTAATGACCCCAGCCCTACCCTGCTAGTTCCCTTCTCTTACCTACAGACTGTAACCCTTTATTTTGATCTGTACCTCCTATAATCTGTGCATTTCCCTCAAAGAGGTTATCTTATATTCTTTTTTTAATTCTTTACTGTGTTGGATAACTATTAGGGGCTGAACAAATTAAGTTTAGAAGATAAGGCAAACAAAGTTTGGGCAAGAGTACAGAATGTGACTACAGAAAAATTGTAAATGATTCCAGGTAGGAGGTAAAGCACAAGCAAAGGTAAAGCAGTGAGAACACTGGGCTCGGCTTAGTGGTAAGATGACCATCAGGACTAGAAAAGTTTAGTCGGTAAAGAGAGAGGAAGAACTTATGGAAGACCCATAAGGCAAGAATAAGGTATTTTGTACTGCCATGGATTCTTCAGTAAATTTTCCACAAGTACTCCCAGAGAAAAGTCCAGGGGAAATGAGTGAACATTCAAAAATGTGGAGAACAGAGGAGAAGGGGAGAATGCTGGGTTTTGGAGTCAGATGAGCTGAGTTTGGGACAGTTGTAACAAAAGGCAACTCAGCCTCTCTTTCACTCTTTGTTTCCTCATCTGTAAAATGGACATGAGAATACCTATTTTAGGAGATGTTTGAGAAAACAAAATGAGGTGATGTATATAAAAGTAGTCAACACAATGCCCAGCATGTAATGTCAATGCCAGTTTTCCTGTTACTGTTCTTCTGGATACATGTGCTCTCACAGAAAACAAAAGAATCAAGAATTAGAGGTGGAGGATATTTAAAGATCCTTCTAGTGCACCTCTCTCACTGCAAACAGAAAGAAATGGTATCCAGAGAAGTTGTGTGATTTGAAAACCACAGATTACTTCTCTACTTCTCACTGTACAGGACAGGTGTGTGGCCTGGAGTGGGCACACTCTAGTACTTGTTGAATGAGTGAATGAATTGTCCTTGGCCCCACATTCAGTCAGTAGCAGGGCCAGGGCTTGAGGCTAGAGGCCACCTCTTCCCATTATGACACATGTCTCCGCAGACAAAACAGTTGTTCTTCCTTTATCTCAGACTCTAGTCCATTAACAGCACCAACATCTCCAGTGATGATTTCCACAAAATGAACAAACAACCTTTTCTCTCTTGCTGTCTTGGAAACACATTCATGACAAGATTCCTGAACAAGGGAAAAAATGATAGTACAAACAACCACAGCTGGGTGATTCCTTCCAACACTGCAAAAAAAAAAAAACCAAAAAAACTCGGTGCTATCAACCAATAAGATAGTATCCAGAAGCAGGGGGGACAACTCTGAGAAGCTTTGTCCTGGCATGAAATTCCTGGTTTCCCACACAGTTTATATTAGAATATCCAAAAAGATACTTGGATAACATTTTATGACTCAAATATTCCTGCCAGAATCTATTAGGCCAAGCAACTATTAGTTGTCCTTTCTCTTTACTGAAATAATGGGGATATAAGTCTGAAATAAAAAATTCCTCTCTAATGGAAAAAGCAAAATATTTTACCATGTGAAAATTCCAGACCTTGCCCCAGCTGTGCATTTTCTGCACTGGATTCTTACAACACCCCAGATCCAATTTTTTTTTTGTTTAGTTGTAAAGTGATTTTGCTTCAATTTTGACCCCAACCAAAGCCCTGCCACTCTACCCTTTGCTGGTTAAACCCTCACTGGTTAGGACGTTGCAGAAACTGGCCTCACCAGTGCGTTCCAACCTCAAGTCC